CAGCAGCTTTTGTGCAAGCCCCTTATCCTCTCGGGGCCTCACTTTCCCCTCCCAACCTTTGTCTCTTGTTTCTTTATTTTACAGAGGCTGCAGGGCAGGGTTTCCCTCCCCTGTGTTTGCCGAGGGCTTAGCACAATGGCTGACCTGTCAAGCCCCAAGTATCTAGAGGAGACCCTGAGGACTGGCCCTTGCACGCACTTCCTCGTGTCGCTAGACCTCTGCTTCAGTCACCTCTCGTTTGCTCCCGGGAGTGTTGGTTTGTTCTGCACGGTGGTGAATGCATGCTGGGCTCCATGTGCTCGCAAGAGCCCTGCTCCGGCGCACTGATGCCCGCTGCAGCCCAGCTCCACACCCCTTTGCTCTCACAAGCCCCGACAGTGCTTTCACCGTTCCCTGTTACGTGGCCCAAGATAGCACAGCCTCATCTTCTGAGAGAGAAGAAATGCAGGTAGCTTGCAGTGGCAGCATAGATGCTTCAGAAATGTTTTAAAACGCACACAATTCAGGACTCGTTTAATCAAATATGTGCTTCCATTTTAGGTGAAGAGAGCTGGGCCAAGTCAGAGTCAAATATTTTCCCTTCCATCTCTTTACATGTGCCCATCCACCAGAAAAAAAAACAGTAGGGTCCATGGAGTACTACGCTCTGCATTTACACAGTTGGCATATGAAAGTGTGAGGTATTCCTGTCCGCAAAGAACAGTGCAGAAAAAACAGACATCAAAGAAGCCTGGGTTCAGCCCATATACAAATCCAGAGACAGACACAGCTTGGACTGCAAACTGTGCCATGTCCTGGAATAACAGAAAGTGTTCCCTTTGGCAGCTAAGTAAAAACACCAAGACACTTCAGGGGGGAAAAAGAAAAGAACAACCACACAAAGGTAACCTCACTGATGCCAGATTCCACTCCTGGCTCAAGAGCGGTCTGAGGGACAGTTTGTATGCTCAGCACAAATCTTTCCAAGAAGGGCACGCTTAAGTCTCCAGACCAGTTCAACGCAAGTAAGCAAGCTAACCTCAGCTGTACTCAAAACCAACACATTTTTCTAAGCGTAAAATGACGTGGGTCAAGCAAACATGCAGAATTAGAGGGCCCTGGAATATTAAAATGAGGCAATCCATAATTTGTCAGGATTTTAAACATCTCCTTATAACTTGAGCAGAAAAACACATTTCTAAGCTTCACTCCAAATAATCAAATCAGGCTTGTTTTGAGCAATAAGTGAGCTTCAAACTAGAAGTCACACTATGGCAAAAGAGTCATCTTAAGCGCTTGTTTTAGACTCCGTTTCTACTTTGTGGGAGAGAAGAGAAGGGAGGGAAAGCCTCGACCTTCCCTACAAGCTGAAGCTGCCAGAAAGCACTCTGGGTGTTTTGGAGTTAAGTCACATTATGTGGTTTTTAGCTCATCCCATTACAGCATTGCTTATTTTTACCATAATGCTCCTATTTTGTAGTTGCTATGACAATTTGCAGCATTATTTATACGGCTATACACATGCAGAGATCAAGAGACAGACTTCTTTTCTGGGATTTAATAATCTTATACCTTTGAGTAGGAAAATTATGCCGAGTCCTGCCAGTTACCCGTGCTAGTAGGTTAGTTAGATGCTGTAAATCCAATCTAATTCTGATGCAATATTGTCCTCAGGCATAGATCCAGCTCACAGCCTACCCGTTACAGAATGGGAACAAGTCTACAAGATGAACCAGTAACAGTAAAGAAAAAGCCAGCATGCTCAAGGCTGTGTTCTACTCCCCCTTCAGCGCGTGGAAGCAATTTTGAGAGAATTTACAACTTAATGCAGAGAGAGACTGAGCAAATAGGCAAAAATTCAAATAGGGGTTTAGGAGGCGCACACTATCTTATTAACAGGCAAGGAGAGTCAGTCCTGTCCTTTGCTTTTAACACACAATCTTGAGGACGTGTTACACCTTCTGCCTGCTCTTGAACACGTTTTTCACCAAAGCAGAAGGGCTCCTCAGGGATACAGCAGCTCTGCAAAGTCCCCCAGAAAGGGCTATAAACACCAAGTGCATCTGATCTTTCAAACTAGTCCAGAAGTGCTCCCATTTGGATGCTGGTAAAACCCAAAATAATTATTTTAATCCCATTTTGGGGAGGGGAAACAAAGGGCTGTGCATGTGTCCTCTAGGGTTTTAGCTGTTTGGTTTTTGTTTGGTGTCCACCCCACCCCCCCCGCCCTCAGAGTGAACCAAAAAACCATTCAAATCTCATTTCTGCTGGCACTGTCCAATTATCAAGTATCTGCTGTTCCCCATCACATGCCTAACGAACTGAAGCACTAGGCCCAGGTCCCCCGAGGTGTCAGTCGCCCTGACCGCAACAGGTACACAGGAGCTATCAGCTTATCACAGCTGAAAATTTAGCAGTTCCTCATCAGTCTTTACCTTCAATACTTCATGCCCCAGTAGGCCTGTCCCTTCTTTTGCCTTCATTTACATAGGACATCACTGCTGCAAAAGCTACAAACATACCATAACATCCATAGTCTTAATGTCTGAGCCACAGCGACATGCCAGCAATCATCTTAACGCTTATCTGATAAACTAATGCTTCATAGATGCAATTATGTTCCCTCTATATTGCCCTACGTTAAAGTATTCTGAAAGGCTAGAGCACTCTGTCCCACTCCTCCCTCAAAAAGTCATTCAAAATATTAAAAGAAACGGGATATTAGCTGGCTCAGCAGGAGGAACCACTTGACATTCCTCAGTCAGAGGAGGGAAAAAGGGAGGTTTTATTGTAAATTGAAGCGGGCAGTCGTGGAGTCGGTTTGCATTGCGGTACAATCTGTTGTCTCCATGCAAGAGCCCGCATTTGAAACGCTCTAGCCCGAGGATACCCACTGTTCATAAATCAGCAGTATGGTTGTGGGGACAACCTACAGGGCTAGGCTTCCTCTAAGATTTATAACCTCCCCGCTATCAAATGGTCTGTGAGTAGGCACAGCTGAGTACAATACCACGTTGTTTCCTCCTGTGCTGGAAAACCCTGTGAACCTCACACCAGTATACGTTCTTCCGTGTCCCTACTTCAGAGGAAACGTACAAAACTGCCATCGATCAACCAGCAGAGCTCTTGGGTCAAAGCTAATGCTGGTCTTGTTTGTGCCAATCTTCTCTACTCTGCTGGTTTTATTTTGTTTATCTCCTGCACCTGGGTTAATTGCTGCAACGGAGTGATTTGGGTGGTGCAGTGGGATGTCAATGAAGTTGGAAAAAAGGAAGGGGAAAGACCTGGGTGGGCTGCAGAAGCATTAGGAAAAGCAAGACCAGCTGCATCCTGCAGAAACCCAGGTCAGCTGAAAAGTAGAATATGCACTTTCAAAAGTTAACGGTACAAATTGAATAGCAGGGTTCAGATTGTTGGTGGTTTTGCTGACTTCTGCAAGGGAGTCCCAGCAGCCCCATCAGCATCCTGGACACGCAGCACACTCTCCACTCTCAGGGTGCTTGTGGGCTGGAGTTCGTCCTGTCCACCCCACTGGTTCCTCTTGCAGCACAAGCCTCGGGTCATTGTGTACTCCAAGATTGGGAATGATAAGATCAGCTGACAGAGCTCCAATTTAGACATTTATTATCAAGCACAAGCAACATTAGCAGCTGCCCAGCTTTCTTGTCAGAATTAATAAACAAGCACTCCCTCAGTGCTGCTCAGAACAGCAAGAGGGCTGCTCTGAAAGCTCATCTAGTGGTGAGTGGCCTTTTACTGTCTTCATGCTTCTTTGAGAGGCTCTAGGAAGAGCAAGCAATAGCAAGGTTAAGCACATGGATGGGTCTAGACTGCACTACTGAGGCCAATGGCCTTTATTTCGGCCAAGAAACAAAAGTCAGCTTTCCCCGTTACCTTAGCCCACTGTTTTCCCCTCCTCCTGCAAACCTGACAATGTGAATCAAGAAACTGTTTTTCTCTCAGCATAACTGAGTCTCAGTGCAAAAGAAGTTTCGTAGGTCTGCTGGTAGAGAAGCGTTTTTTCGAAGTCGTAAGATTTTTTTGACACCTATCGCTCTCAAGAGAAAGTCTCCACCTGGCAAAGAGAGATTACAAAATAGAACAGGACCTAAAAGGGTCTTTCACTACCACAGATGTTACTACCTCGCAGTGACTAACTTGCTGTTTGAGCTCTTCTCTGATTAAAAGCCTCATTGCCCAGAGTCCATTTCTTGCTCCTTTAGGATGATTTCCCATGACATTCTGCACTTTTACGATGAAAAGCCACCGACAGCCAGTCCATGCTCACATCAGAGCTCCACCTTTTTCTACCAAAACTACCAAAGTAAACAGCATTATCACTTCTGGAAATGAAACTGGCCTTAGGTAACATCTTCCACACCACAGAGTCCTCTAGCTACTGGACCAGACGTTTAGCAATTGCTTCGAGAGCAACAGTTGCTAACATAGAAATAATATAATTTATTTTCCTCACCTCACATTTAAAATAGCACCCACAGCTACGCTCTAGCACCAATGTAGTCCTACAATTAGCTCCGAGCAGTCACTTCAGAAAGGCAGAACAGGAACACACGCTTTAGAAACATCAATCAGACTTCATCCCAAACACAGAGAGACCTTCACCCGTCATAAGGGCTTTGGGGGGAGACACCTTTCCTATTAAACCATCTTTGCAATTAGCACAACTGAATTAAACTTGTAGCACTATTGGGGGTCGTAGCTTCAAGCATTTAAAGGATACTTTGAGCATGTTAAGGATGAAGTTGAAAAGTTTTTAACTTTTAAGCTTTCATTATAATAGAACAGCATTTTAAGATTCCTATTTTTAAAATAAAAAGAGAAACATTTGCTAATGGTTTTTAAAATAGTTAGAATCTCTTTATAAATATACTGGCTCACATTTCCAGGCTTGCTTTTTTGAGAAATCCACACTCATAGAGCCCTGGCATCATTGTGTGCTAACTCTTGCTTTCATGTCAGGTTAACATAGTCTCCTCTTTTCAATCAGCACTTACAATAAGATGTGGACAGATGCCCAGAAAGACCTCGACATACAGCTCCAGAGAGAAAGAGAAGAGTTCCTCCAGCCAGAGAAGGACAGAGTGAAAGTATTCAAGATGTTAGCCGCTTCCTACATCAAATACATGCAAATCTTCCGTAACTTGGAGACGGCCCACGACCAACTCTTTCACCGGCAGAAACGGACAGTGATTCGGCAAGTGCTGGATGGCGTGACTGGCCGGATCCTGGAGATGAAAAAAGAGATGGTGGGGCTGGAGAACTCGGAGTTTCAGTACATTGATAATATCCTGGAAGATCTAAAGCTTCTCCCGGTAGGTTTACCTCTCTTATGAGCACGTTCACAGGAACTTTGCCCACCCTGTAGTTTAAGGACAGTCAGATTTACTTGCAGTCTGTCAAGTTCTGTGAAGTGATTTGGCTTCAGGTCATCAGTAATTATGGCATTTCTATTAAAGATCAGAGTATATTTAATCTATGATAAGCATCGTATATTGGAGCAAGATTTTAAAAGCCTATCTGCTTGATCGGTGTGTTGCATTTCCACTTCTCCATAGCAGCACAGGCTCTGTGGTTCTTTCACTCACACATGTCCTAACATGAAGTCATACTCGCTTAGACAGCTTCACTATTCATGGCAGGAGTTCAACTCTGCATGACTTTAATGTGGGATTAGCTAGAAGATGGGTAAGTGGTAAGCAAGGTACAGTCCACTTCAGTGTGCCCTTTGCATCACTGTGAATCAGCCTGGCCTCAGGCCTCTTCCAGAGATCACAGGTAATGATAGAAGTTGCATAGTCCAGTCTACTAGTTTGTAGTACAACAATCTACTAAAGTGAGGAATCTGAGGCAAGTCTCTTATTGTAAAGGAGGCAGGAGCTGGGAGCATATTCAACATCCAGGGTTCAGGATTTGCCGATGTAACAGCAGCCCCCTAAACCAGATGAATGTGACAACAAGGCAAAGTCTTGAAGCTGTGCTCTAAAAGCAGTCTGAAAAATTAGCTGCAAAAAGCCAGTTACTTCTCTCGCAGACAGCTCCACCTGTTGTCAAATTCAGGTACCGCTGCTTTTCTAAAGAAAAAGTTTGCGCTTGAATTACTGCTGTTTTCAGGGTCCCAGTTAGAACGTCAGATAAATTGCCTAATAACATTATAGTATTATTTGGACATTTGCAAATATGTTTCTGTTTGCAGTTGCTTGTGTATTTCACTCTGCAAATTTAGGACAGTCATTGCCATGAATTTTCACCAGCTCTTTACCTTCTACATTAGTCATAGCAGAGCACTATTTCAAACTATGAGGAGCCATACTGGAGAGTATAAACACACCTCCAGGGCAACTGATCCTTCAAATCATGTTGTGAAATCATTAAGCGCTGCTATTCTTATCACTTCTCAGTAAATCCACTTGCAGCAACAAGTTGGCAAGTCTGAAAAGTCATGTTTGACATGAATAAAAACAAACAAGTATAAATTCAAATTCCACACCACACCTTCATTTTAAGAAGGCACAACATACGTACCCACTACCAAGAAAAAGCACTGAAGAGGTTTCAGGCTTTTTCCAAAGCAAACTTTACTTTCCATAATAGACAGGAATACGTATTTATATTTGGGGTGGTAGTTTGTGTTTGGTTTTGGGGTTGGTTTTTTGGGGTTTGGGGGGGTGTGTGTGTGTGTTTGATTTTTTAATAAAATAATCACACATTCTTGGTTCCAAAACAAAACTACTGGCCCGTACTTGACAAGTAACTTCTGTTGCTTAAAGAATCTGCCCACAAAGAATACGTCTAGTCCTTCTTTTCACTGTATTATCATGAGCTAAAATCCAGCATGATTGTAGGCAGAGAACACAACAGAGCAGTCTCGTTTTATATCTTATACAATGATATTGCCTACTTTTTACTATATCGCTGCAAGGCCAAGCTTCCTCCTCCTTTAGTTCTGGCCCTCATCTTCTTGTACAGTTCCCTTCCAACACTCAATCACTCCATTTCCTGGGGTAATTGTAAAGCTATTTGGATACACAAATCCCATGTGGAGCCAGGAGTGGCTAAAAAGCTGCAAATTTGACTTGAGGATAAATATCACAAACCTAACTTTTCAATGCTGGGCCCCAAAAAGAGATTATGAAGAGAAGTATTCTTCCTACTCCCCACCCCTCCCAGCCTCAATATTATGGCTTTCATTTCATCTTTGCCATCAGTCACAGTCCAGAATCACTTGTAATTAAAGCCCAGGTTAATCATTAGAGATAGTCGTCACCCCTACACTGACTCACACTGCTACCTGACTGTGTAAAAGCCCTCTCGTTCTATGCAAGAGTGTCCAGACAAACCACTTGATTTCTTATACCTAAAGACAACCAGATTTGTAATCCATCCTAGTGCGATTTGCACTCTTAAAGTACAACATATAATCATTTCCATCAACAGTCAAGGATGTTAGAAGGTCCAAACAAGGAGCTTAACAAGACAAATATTTGGAAACTTTAGCAGACCAGACCTCTGCTTGATAAAACCACTAGGGATAAACACAGCCTTACTTGGAAGCTTTCTTACGCTGCCGTAATAGAGATGTCCCAGTCTGCATGATGTTCAAGTGAGAGAATAAGTAATGAAATTTGTAATTTGGCGGTTCACAGGGGCTGTTTTCATTGGCCACAGCCTTCCCTGCAAATTCTTGCTCTAAGGATTGGAAAGTCTTAGAGCTCACAAGCAGCACATTTACCACACCCCTGTATCAGGGCAGGAGTGGTGCTTGTTCTTTCCCGACAGTACTTTTCTCCTCCATGTCAGTCCATACCAGAGGTGGCACTGAGGCTGCAAAGGATCAAGTCAAAGGTCTCCGTGAGCAGGTCAAAGCCCACCAGTTTCCATACCAGCCAGAAGAGAAAGCACCGATAGTACAGCATCGAGTCTTGTGCCTATCTTATGCTCCTTGGGCAAAAGGACCAAGTGTCCACACATACCTGGGGACAAATTATTGCGAAACTTGACTAGGCAACTCCTCATGAATAGCACGACAGGGTAACTACTGCCTGTCTCCCCCACATCTTCTTCTATCCTTCTGGGTAAATAGTTAGCTTGAGGAGATATTCTCAGTGTTCCCGATATAGTAGATAGGGAACATGGCACCAGTATGAACCAAACCTATGAAGACACATTCCCGCGCCCAGAAAAATATACTTGCCAGTAATTATTCTTGAAGAATTCTCTTCAGTCTTCAATATGACCCAAAGAACAGGTTACGTCACTCCGCAGCATCTTAATTTTGGGGGAGTTTTTTTGTTTGCCTATGTCCTTTTATTTCTCAACAAGAGTAAAATTCTACAGGAGAATTGGTAGAAATGTGACTCAGTTCCATCTCTTTAATGATGGAAACAAGTAAAGACAGCCACTTCTGACCACGCCTGATTTTGAGAATTGACTGAGATACCACAGTCACAGACAGTGACAGTTTGTCTGCAGGTGGAAGTGCCTGTAGACGAACAGAATTGTGCTCTGGTTCCTTGTAATGGTTAAAAAAAAATGCAAGAGAACAGATCTATTTTTCATGTTGATTAAAAAAAGAGGTGGGATGATCATACAACCAGAGGTATTTAATTTAGTGAATATCATGTTTAAATTTCCGGTAACCCTGCCAAATATTTTAACAGTTTGATAATATAATTGAGCCATCATAAAAAGAAAGATTTCTAGGCTCCCCTGGTTCAGAAACTGGGTTGATTTATTTGTTTTTCTTGAATTAGGCCTTAAGTAATTGCAAAGTAATAGCTCAGCAGCTGTTACAGAGGTCAAATTCCCCAATCTCAGTCCAATTTAATTGCTTTGTAAAGGTGTTCAGTGAATACATAATGTCATCTTAATGCAGTTCTAAAAAGCATCTCATGAGTATTTCTTCCTCTAGGAAGACATAGAAGTACCTATCCCAAGGTATTTCATTAAAGAAAAGCTGGAAGTCCTGCAGCAGAGGGAGAAAATGCTTGATCAGATTTTGCTTAATGCTGGATTACAAACACTGGTAAGCATACCACATACCTACACAATAACACGCTTAACTTTTTTAGTTTATAGCCACACGTGTCTGAACACACGAGCCACTGAAGTGAAAAGTACTTTTATAGCAGTTAGGAAGTAAAAGTCTGCTTACAGATAAGGCACAAAGAGAAAGTAACACTAAATTTTCCTGTCTAACAATATCCAGCCACATCTTGGGTCTGGTGAAGACTGAAATGAATCGACTCTGCTTTATGCGTATGAGAGAGTCACAGAAAGGGCAGTGCTTCGTCCAAGTTTAGTAGGTGCTTTTTTTGTCTAGCTACCTCTCATCACATAATTAGTCCTACTGAAATCAAGCTGGGCTTAAGTTTTACTGAATCAGGATTCCTGACTGGAATGGGCAAAACTCGGAGTTCAGGTCAGCACAACTGTTAGCTTTCAGTTGTTTACAACCTCTGAACAATGACTGCAGTCTCTTCTGTGCAGATATAGAGCTGCAGCTGCTAGGAGGAGTAGAAAATTGAGTTTTGGCAGAGCAAAAGTCATTATGGAGAAGTACATGAGCGCTCCAGTGAAGACTGTTCTGTATTTGATATACTTTTGACCTTTTGGAAATGGCACATTGCCTACAAACAGTTGTTGCTAACCCCTTGAAATAAACAACTGTGCCTACATGTCTGGATGACTTAGATTCATAGATGTTTTAGCTATAAGAGACAGTCCTGATCAGTCCACTTAGTCAAACTGCTGCACTGCCCCAGCCATTGAATTCTCCACCAGTAATTGTGCTGTTGGGTGAAGTCCGCGTGTTGATCCCGTAAAGCAACGGAGGGAAGGTTCCCAGGGAAAGAAACAGCGCCAGTCAGACAGAGGCAGTCCGCAGAGACTGAGCGCAGGCTCCCCGCTAGATTACTTTAATGGGCAGCTGCAGTCCTCTTGGCCTCCACAGTAAATCTCTGGGTAAATTCTCTGCTCTTCTAGTCGTCTGGTGTTGGTCTGTGGAGATCCTCTGCTTTGGCACATTACATCTTGAAGCCTTTTTGATTCCCACAGTTCTGCTCTCACCCCTTTTCAGTGTGGTATCCGTAACAGATGAACCTATCTGGTGTGCAGCCAGCTCACCTGGGAGCACCAGGCTCTCGCACGTTGGACACTGGCAGGGCCCAGGTCTCCCTTTGCCAGGATGCCACAAGAGCGGCGCCAGCATTCAATAAACATGAATAAAATAATCTCACACATGATAAGTCCAGTGCCCTGTGTTGCACTTCCAGTTCAATCGCTGCTGGGATTCCTAGAGGCTTGTCAGCACTTCTGTGTGCATCATAGCAAGCCATGTGCACTCAGGAAATCCTGAATGCTGTGTAACAGACCTTTAGTATTCTTCAGTATCCGTGGCAGTGCTGTTACAAACAGTCTAATACATTGAAAAGAGTGGAGGGAGTCTGCTCTGCAGATCATTTGCCCTCTGCAATTCTGTTATAGAAAACCCTGCTGAAAATGTAGTATAGCAAACTCCACACAATATGTAGAGGAGCATCAAATGTAAACTGTCTCCAATAGGGGGATTAACATCAAGAAAGAACAGTAATTCAGTTTTTCCATGGGGAGCATGAGGGATTAGCAATAGTTCTGAGGAGCGAGAAGAGGGAGTCCCTCTCCAGCTGCACTGTTCTGTTACATTTTTCCCCAAGCCTCTTCTCTTTGGGCTGGGCTGACCAGGCCTGGGCTGGCCCAGAACAGCCTGTCCTTCCATTCAGCAAGAGAGCTGGAGTCCCAGCAGCACGTACAGAAACCCATCCCTACAGGAAAGTAAAAGGAAGGCATTCGATAGCCTAAGAAATTCTCCTTTTAATAGGACAAAGCCCTATGGTTCTTCATGTCTTTTTTTCTCAAATGGATAAAGTTAAGCAGGATGCGTAAGCCACAAGAGCCATTCGTGCTTCCCCACTATAGCATCAGGCTTTCCTTGTCACGCATCAACATATCAGGTTCACTATTCTCCTAAAGGTCCTCAGAAAACCACATCTCTCAAGATATCAAACTCCCACGATACTGCAAGATGGCACTGAGACAGGAGTCCCTGCTGCTTGTGACAGGGATTTTTTTGGCCTTAAAATTTCCACAAGAAGTTCATTGGTTGTTTTGTTTGCCAACAAAATTACAAGACACGTAACTCTTAATACCCTGCTTTGTCTGTTCATTTTTGGCTGTGCTGTTGAAGAAACCTGTCAAGGCCATGACTTTTGAAGAAGCCATTAAAATGATCCAGGTTGCGGAACGGGCTCGCCAAGGCCGTTGTCGAGCAGCATTCATGAAGCAAATTTACCTTGAAGAGAAGAGAGAAAGACAAGCTAAACTTCAGGTCCAGATGGGTCCAAATCCAGATGATGCTGCCACTTGCATTCAAAAGGTAAGATTTCCAATTTAACAACAGTTCTGGCAGAACCAAATGACAATGTGTTGTTCAGAAGAACAGCGGTAGACAGAAACACAGCTCATGGGAGGGGAAGCATTCCGAAACGATCGCTTTCAGGGTGCCTAGCAAGGTGAAATACATCATTTAAACCACTTGACAAAATGAGACAGGACCCTAGATGTGAGATCAGTGGAAACAGTCCTGCACTAGCAATACACAATGACTTTATAACCTACATGTTGTTTTTCCATTATTGGTTTTTATGACCCCGGTTGCTCTTTCTGGCATCCCCTCGGAATCCAGCGCATCTCAGGGAATTCATGCCTTTTCCTGTGATCTCCAGGGGAAGAATTCATTCCACATCTTGAAAAGATGAGAAAGGGAGATCACTGCTAAATTCCAGAAAAAGTCCTTACACATGAATAATTCAGACAATTCAGTCTGATAAGACCAGGACCTCAGTCTAAATCTTAAGTCCGAAGAGTTTTTGAAATCCTGATGTTGTTGTGTTTAGAAGCTAGTGTAAGTGTAAGGGATAACAAACCTCAGAATTTGTTTTAAAAAAAAAAAAATAGCAGATGGCAACCTGTTAAAGAGTAATAGTTCCAATTGTATATTGTGCCTTTCCTTCCTCTATTTGTTTTTTCCTGTGTCTGCCACAGTAAAGGAAGCTGTAACAAGGCCCATTTATCTCATTAGAGTTTTGTTTACAATTCAGGTTTGGCATGGATATATCCAGCGCAAGAAAACAGAGAAAATGAGAGAAGAGGAAATGATATTTCTGGGGATGGTGAGTAGTGCTGCCTAGAGAATATAAAATGCCACACTCTGTCTGTTCTTCAGACTTTTGTAATTTAGCAGAAGATGAGAAATTAATTTCTAAGATTCTTCCTATTTTAAAAGGAGTCTCTAAGGAATACAGAACTAAACTGAAATGATAAATGACACAGAAATAGCACAATTTGTCTTATGCTGCATGCTTTCGTGCTATACATACATAGTCCAATGTATGTGGCAGATGTGGAAACAAGCGGTGTAGAATTTGCCCGAGGTTCTAGGGAACTTGACCCAGGCATGACAGAGCAAGGAAATTTTATTAGTCAATTCTTCATTCATAGTTCCAAGATGCTTGAGCTGCCTTATTCCTGAACTAAAGATAAAGCAGCAGAGTCGTCTTCTCCCACCCCTTTGCAAGCCAGTGTATATCTATGTCAAGAGTAGGGAAAAGGGACAGTAAAACTGCCATATTAACACATCAATATTTCCATAAGTCCATACAGAAATCAGCAAAATATGCCTCACCTCTACCACAAAAGTACAGGGAAATGAACAACTGTCCATGGTCAGTTATTTTGTGTGGGATGAAAGAAAAAAATGAAAGCACCCCTTCCAAAAGAAGGAACCTTTTCCTCCCACTATCAGAGAAGGTACATCTCTTCCCACCAGGATCTTCCTAGCAAGTACCTGAGAAGGAGGAGAAACTCTTTACAGAGGACATTTTCTTTGGCCACCACCAATCCTTTGGGTGCTTTCATTAGTCAAGCCTCACTGCTCTCCAACTCCAGCTACAGTAGCGCAGCCCTTGTACCAAGTTCTAGTAAAGCTCCTTTACAGCACCGCATTACAGAAATGTTCATCGCTGCTCCGTGTTTGGTAGTTTTATTTTATACCTTTGCGTTCTACAGTTCTTAAATGATTAATTTAGAATCATAGAATCACTAAGGTTGGAAAAGACCTCTTAAGATCATCAAGTCCAACCGTCAACCCAACACCACCATGCCCACTAAACCATGTCCTGGAGTGCCACGTCTACACAACGCCTCCAGGGATGGTGACTCCGCCACCTCCCTGGGCAGCCCGTCCCAATGCTTGACCACTCTTTCAGTAAAGAAATTTATCCTAATATCCAATCTAAACCTCTCCTGGCACAACTTGAGGCCATTTCCAATTTAGAAACTAATAATTTAATTTTGAATTAAAACATGCTTTCTGCTTCTCAGAGACAATTTGGATGATTTTCCTACCCAGCGATGGAATTGCCCTTAGCTACATTATACGTTTATGAAAACTAATTGTGCCTATAGCATACATCTGACAAATACGTGTCATCAGTTAAGAATGACCTTAAAATCTTACCATTAAGTAACACGTACGTGTACTTAAGTTTTGCCATGTTAAATACAGATATCACCTTATAGGGATGTTGCCTGTAATATCTGCTGATCATTAACAGCAAATGTAGCCAGCATCGCTAAACAGAGCTTTGGGTGCCAACTCTGCCTCCGTTTAAGGCAAAGAAAATTGCCAGAGATTTTAGCTACTGCAGACCTAAAATGGTGAATGTTTGAGATGTACTGCAAATAAATTAGAAATTATACCTTTTGCAAAACAAGCGATCATTTGCTATCAAGTCTTAAAACTAGAGTCTTAGGAAGGAAATCTAAGTCTAGCATCAGTTATTGGAAGGTTCACAGCCAAGCACTCTTTTCATGGTGGCCAATAGTAGGAGTAACTGATAACTAGGATCTAAATAGCCTAGTTTATGGGGAGGAAATCTATATGATCATAGGGATGAAGGGAATTAAAACCAAACACATACAGTGTATTTGTTTCCTGACTTACATTTAGGAGCAAGAGAATTGATGTTTGCAACTCTGCACTCAGATTCATTACTCTTTACCAAGCATATAATCAAAGGATGTGGGGAAAAAATGGATACCTCCAAATAAAATAATAAAAAAAAAAATCTCTTCATCTTTCTCATGTTTTTATATTCCCCATTTGTGTTTCCCTTTTACTTTTTATGCCGCATTCCCTTCCACGGTCTCCAAAGGAAGTGAGTGGCAAGCAGGCATTGGTTCACACTGATAGATAGGCAGTGAGCTCCAAAGGTCAAGTCCCTTTGATGTATGATCACGTCAGCCCTCTAAAAAATGACCACAGATCTTCATGTGTAAATATGTTGAATTTGCTTTTCTAATGCTGCACGACTTAGATAAATTAGAAGACCTAGCCATCCGTTACTCCAAGTCCATCCCCAAGGAGACTTCACTTTTACTGCAGTAAATATCATTTCTCTTACAATTATAGCTATTTTTAAAATGTCTATGTTATTTTCACATATAAAGACCGCGTTACAAAGAGAGCTAGTCCCTTTGAAGTTCTGAATAATGATTTTTTGGAAAAATTTAGTTGTCTTGGCCTAAAAAAATATGTGCAAAGACCAGGAATTGTCCGGTCTTCTAGTTAGTTCAGTGTTATTTTCTTTACTCTCTACTTACTTCAGAAAAATTTATGTATCTTTTGTGGAATTTGATTCTGTTTCATCTTTTGCTTGATGACAGAGTAGAAGCCTATGTTCCAGAGATTTTTCTTGGCTCAAAAGTAAAGCCTCATTATTATTATTATTATTTGTTAAAGCCTAATTGCAGAAACAGCATGATTCCCTCAGCACATGTTTTTCTAAATCTCCGATAAATCACAATTTGCAATACCGGTTTAATTTGTAAAGAGAAGCAAGCCTCACTAAGAGCACATACATCTTGATAACTGTATCCTGACCCGTTTCCTGATCTTCCTCACATTGCTGCCACAACGCTGTTTACTACCAGCTCCAGCATGACCACCACAACCAATGTTCCAGGCATAGGTCTGTGCTTAAGCCACACTGACATTGCAAAAAAACCCACATTAAATTGTCTTGAACACATGTGCATGCTGTCCAGACAAACCTGTATTTCCTTGCTCTGACTATTTTACTGTTACAGCCCCATTCTAACGTGCTATTTTTCCAGCTTTTAAACTGGTGTGTAATTCCACTTGTCTGTTTCTGGCATTTATAAGTTCCCTGTCATTAAACACCACGGTTAGAGGTTGCTGGGATTGTTTCATTTAGCTACGGTGCACACTAGCTATCAGCCTAGTGTAGCTGGATGTGTGAACTGGTTTTTGGCAACTGCTTTGTCTCAGAGTGGTGCAAAACAGCCCAAGCCTAAACACTCAGCGCTCTCACTAACAGACTCTTCTAACAGGGTAAGCCCTGCAGGAAGTTATACTTATAATCTCAGAACACAGGCTACTGGAAAGAGGAAAAGCTGTTTTTAACATATAAACTTAGAATAAACAGTTTGCAATCAGGCTGATTTATGGAAGGGTAGAAGGAGCCCAGGAATATGGAATACAAAGAGACAAGACAAAATGCATCGCGATTTAGGGGGTCAGCCTACTGTTGCAACTTTGAGGCAGGAATACTCCGAAAGCCTGGACATCCCCGTGCTCATGTTTTCACTCCGCGAGCACAAAGAATCAATCCCATTGGAGCCAAGTGCTCTGCACACTTAAACAATTATTGGGACTGAGCCCTGCATGCTTTGGACATGCATACACATAGACACCTTCTTGTCTCAGATACATCTATTGATACTCTCACACCGCTCTATTCTGTAATTTCAGCCCTCACCAAAGCATTAGTGGCACAACACATGCTGATGTATGATTTTTCTCACACGGTGTTTCCACCTTCTTCCTCCTCCTATATTCTTTTCGCATGAAAGGATCTATGTGGTCTCAAATAAAAACACTGTTCTCTCCTTCTTACCTCTTTTAAACATACCCTAATTTAGGCATGTTGTCTTAGATAATGCTTTTATTTATATCTGAGAAAACATTCTGCCAAACATTCCTTGTTCTTTGAATTCCTGATAAATATAATTCATTTCATCCAGTCGGGCAAAAAAATTAGCATTTCCCAGAATAGCCTTCTGTGTAAACATTAGACTATGACTAAATAAATATAATGTGGGATTTAACAAATTGCAAACTCCATAAGTAAGTGAAATTCAAAATATTTCTTCAGTCTTGAAAGCGAGCGGTACAGTAGTGGTACACACCAGGCCTGTTTTTATCAAGCGTAAGATTAAAATTACTTTTGTTTTACTTGCAACCCAGGTGACGTTTAGACGTCAGCACAAAGTTATATGTCATTTCACCAGGCATACATATACATTTAAAACAGTGATAACTAATCTGTCTTGTTTTCAATAGACATTTTAAACCTGCTTATTTTTGAAATGGAAAGATGCTGGGAAGCAAGAAGCCTGCTAAATAATTTGGCTTTCCTTGGCTGGAGTCACACTAACAATGAAATCACTGCCTTTCAGAGTCCAAAATACATTTAGCATTTTCAGTAGAAGTTTGACAGCATGCCCAGGTATAATATCAGAAATAAACATAACCAAAATTAGATAAACTTACATGGTCATGAATAGAAATGTTTTCTCCACTCTCTAGTAAGATGAAAGAAAATTTTAAGTGCTGCATGTCAATATTCTTTTATATACATATATAATATACATCTATAAAACAGCCATTTTCAATATTTTTCTAACAAGGCCTCTTACTACAAGTGCTTTGTTTGAATGCATATGACAATTACTTTAATTGGCAAAGCCATTGAAGTGAATCATATAGTAGGGAAGCTTTAATGAATGCAATATATTTTGCTTAGTTGTTCCTTTTTTGGTGCCTAGTTTAGGAATTCAGCCATATGATTGATGTGGCTATCACCATTTGTATACTGTGGAACCTATACAAATACAATCTTCATAAGACCAGAAAGCTCTTTAAAATACATTCTTCCTGCAGTCAGACAAAATACACTGAGGAAATTAGAAAGCAAGACCATAGCTAACTCCAATATAAAAGTTACAAAGAGAATTTGGATCACCATTTAAAATTCAGTAGCATAACAGTCATTATTAAAGAAGGGGAGCTCAGTTGCTTAGGTGGGGA